TTTATTTTTTCTACAGCCTTTTATTTGTGAATTTGCTCGCAGCACCAGTATGCGCCTTATATCTGAATTAACTCATAATCTGTCACTTCTTTCATTTTGCTCAACTCTCCATCAATAAGTCTGGTACTGTTTTAGTTAAGGTTCAAGAGCATTAGTTATGGATTTTGCGAGCAGAATGATCAAGTGTTACGCTCATTCGGCTGAGGGCAAGAACTTTTTCGAATTCTGCCACTTGAGTAAACTGGCATTAAAAATAAAACTCCCTAAGGCAGTAAGATTAAGATTATACTTGCCCATATCCCTGAATAGCTGCCTCGTGAAGTTTTATTTTTGTAAGAAAGCCAATCCAACCAGAAATTTTACGTGTTAGTAGAAGGAATCAAGAGGAAGAATGGCTGACTTTTTTATTAAATCAGTTTTAATTAGAATCCTTTTACTGAAAATTTGTAATTTTTTTCTCTTCCAGTTTTCTTCTAATTTCCTTTCTATGTTTATTTAAATCAATGGTGTATTTTGATTGGTTTTCATGGGTTTTAATTCCATTTATTTCTTAATTCATTGAAGATGCGTTAGACTTCTGCTGTTTGATGGGAGATGAGAGTTGTTAGTAATTTTTTTGGTAATAATGTTGGGCGGGCACATTTCCTTTCCCAAGCCATTTTGTGACGATAAATTCTCACTTTTTATCAGACCTAGCAGATCAGAAATGGTAAAATTTGAAAAGAATATTATGCAAGAATGCAATTTATCCGAATTTATCCAAATCGAATTTTATTCGCGAACAGTAAATTTTTTAATATGTTTAGTCTTTAAAATTAGTTGCTTAATTTAAACCTCTTAAATTCTTCATACTATTTGCTAATGCAGATTGAACTTTAGGTCAATTTCTACGTCAACCAATTTATCACCATTATCACCGAGCAATACATTTGGTGACTTTACGGAAATAGAAGAACATTGCAATGAACTACACCAACATTCGTTAGAATTTTCCCAATTTTGCAAGTCATTCCCTTTATCCTTAATCCATAATTCTTCTGCATCATAACCACGGATGGTGTTATTCGTTCTCGCAGAATCACAAAATAGTAGGATCTTTGAAATATTTTTCGGTCTGTTGCAGTGGTTTTTGAAATGGAAATTTAAAGACCCCTTCGAGATGGAAACATGGAAAAATTCGCATTTTTTTCCTTCAGTTATGTATAATAACTTTGTAATCAGTTTTAGTTTGTCGTCAGTGGAAATTATTTTCTTTTCACGTTATAGTTTTGTAACGCTTCTGTGAACTGAATTTCATTTGTTTTATGTATCGTTACCTAGGTTTTCGTTAAACAATTATTTAGGGCCAAAAGCTCCTTAATACAAAAAAAGCTTAGAAACTGGTCTAAATCAAACATCGTGCATTTTGGAATTTTTTTCTCGATAAGCTAGTTTAGCAATTTAGACCAGTTTCTAAGAATAGTCTGAAAATCAATTTTACGTTATAGTACATATTATTATCAAAATTTGTGGTTAATTTGCCAAGTTAACAGAAGCTGAAGCTGATATTAGATGCCAGGTTAAAAAAGGTGACTGTTTTGGTGTTCGGTTAGGTTTCAGGTGTTATGTGAAAATAGTAGCCTTCATTTTCTTGCTTTTGGCATTATATTGGTTTTATGACAATTTATATTTTTTTAAGTTCTTTCTATATATTTTTAAGTTCTTCGAAAATTTCTCATAGAAATTTGGCATTTTTTTTCCATTTGTATTTTAAGCTAATTTATTAATTAATTAACGAATTTAGAGTAGCAGGAAGTGGTAAAAATTTAACGATTCCTAATTCCGATGAAAATTTAACGATAGAGGAAGCAAAGAGTTTGTCGCTACGTTCGTTGCATTCATCACCAACAACAAAATTGTCAAAATCAACAATCCCTTCACGTTTCACAATGTCGATAGTTCATGAAGATGAATTTTTAAATCATACTGCAAGAGACGACGAAAAATCGGAAGAAAATAGGGGGACAAAAAAACGGAAGAAACAGAAATCAGTTTTTCATTTCGGTAAATTTTTTTCACATAAGCCAAGATAATTCCATTTTTCAGAAATATTTGGCTAAGGTTTGCAATATGGATTCGTTTTTTATCGTTTCTCCATATCTATCATTCAGGGGGAATTGAATTGGAATTTTGGATTCATCTGTGCTTCTTTTATCATTTCTGGTTTGGTACGTTAGCTGTTTGGATGATAGATATGCTGATGCATCCCTAACCACCACCGATTCTACACCGGTTCTGATTCTACTTATTATGGCAGATATATTATCGTTAAGGAAGATTAGATAATTTGATAATTTGATTTTCTTCGAAGTATCAACATTTTTTTCCCTTCGACTGTATCCTATATTATCTAGCGTTAAAAGTAGAAAAGAAATAAGTGAGAATAAAATTATGTCTGATGAATTTTTTTTTTTGAAAGGTAGAATCGTTGTTTCAGCTTTTTTATTTTCAGTTATATCTTGGACGCAATTTTTATTTTTTGATCATTTTGCAGAATTTTTTTTAAATTTATCGGTTGTTATCGGTTGTTATTAAGTTACTTTTTAAAATAAGGTTCTAGGTTTTTTCTCATAATTAAGCGTAATTACAATTTTAAGCTTCTCTAAGATGTAACTTTATTTCGTAGTTGATGGAGGAAAATTGTGTCGCAAGCGATTAGTATCTTCTTAGTGTTTCATTAAAATCGTTTTGCTATTAATTGAATTGCTATTAATGATCTAGTGATTCACCAGTCTTTAATTTCTTATTTCGTTATTTTGGCCTAAATTTATTGTTGGTTGCAATTTTGTAAATAATTATTTTTATTTATTTTTTATTATATTAAATTGATTCTCAGTATTTTCACATTTTTATTTATTTAAGTTCTGGTGAAATTACTTAAAGTACTGCTATATTCCAATTTCATTTGCATTTTTTTGGCTTTTTTGCGAAATTGACATTCATTAGTGGAATTCTTTTTTTAAAATGCTATTTTTGGAAAGAGTGGCAAATGTGATGGTTTTCTCCTCTAGCATCACTGCGCCTGTTTTGGTTAACTGCAGTGATTGTTGCGAAGCCCCTCCTTTCGTCGGAAAATTATTTGAATATAGAACTTTAGAATCCGTCCTCAACATTCACGGCGTATTGAATCGAACCCATCATATTCGGTCGAAGCAATATGCCGCTCGATATTATCCTGTCTTCCTAATGGTTAGTTAGGTATTTAGGTAAAAATAAAAACAAACGATTTAGCTAAGGCAATTTTTTTAAATAGACCTTTAATTTAACATTTGTTTAAACTCGATTGACCGACAGCTGTTTGTTTAATTTTCGTTGATTTCGTTCTTTCGGTTATTTTCAATTTTCGTTTTTTGCCAACATTTCATTGTTAAATTTTAAATTGTTAATTTGAAAGTTTTAATATATTATTAGTTAAATGTAATTTCATTTCAGAAAAAATGAGTGGTAAATCGAATGAAGAAATCGTTGATAAAAAATCTTTAGATTATAAAAAGAATATTATGGAAAAAGAAGCTGAAAAAAGTGAAACATCATTACCTCTGAATTATTCTTTGAATACAGGAGTACTTTTTTACTCATTTTTTCATCGACAGTAGAGTGGCTCAGATCTCACATCGAAATTTTATTATCTTATTATAAACAATCTGTTGTTAAATCATTTTCTTACTCCTGGAATCCACATATGCTTCATTCGCAAGTGAATCTTTGGAAAAATTCTCGTAATGTTAACAGTCAGTGGAACAAGCAGTGCCAAAAATGGAAGCCATTTATTTAATATCTCATCTTTCTGATTACATTGGTTAAACGATGGCTTGAGACATTTCATGTCCTCGATTATTAAACAGAAATCTTGATACTCAGTCTTGCCTCCAGAAGTCCGCTAAATCTGCCTTGGGACATAACGCAAGCTGGACTTTGGAGAAAACGCTTTAGACGTCTGCTGCCATAAAGCACTGGTCTGGACATGCCAACTATCGACAGCTCATAGTTCGTAACGGTAGATTAGACTCGTAGCGCTCGCAGCGAGACGAGGTAAAAACAGATACTGGAGAACGATGTGCCCTTGAATATGGAGATTTGAGTAGGCTATCACCGAAAATTATTCTGCCTGATCAAGGCTATCGGAGATCGATAAATGGTCGATGATTCGTAAAAAGGATGGGAACCCCATTAATCCTATCAAAATTTCTTATCTTTTCGGTGGAGAGAGTTCTTTGAATCTAAACTTAGCTCAACGGGCCGTTCAAGATTCCGGGTATGACTAGAACGTGTTTGGAGCCATAAGGTTGCGAAACAATCTTTATAATTTGCAATTTCAGTTCAGTAAATTCAGTTCAGTTCTGGGTCAGCTAGTCGAACTCTTTAAATACTGGCCAATATTTTTCGTAACACATTTGTAAAGGTGTTATTTACTGTGAGAGAAGTAAAAACCATTAGAAACCATGTGAAGCAATGTTGTAAAAATATTGGGTTATTCAGAAAGTTTATGGGTTTTTATGGCCTGTGGCTTTGGAACCACATACTTTTATTGTCACCACAAGTTAGCCGACTCATGTATCGTTTTGTTCGCCATGTTTCTTCTTCTTTCTTTTCTTTGCAGAATCATTTATTTCAACATTTTTGACTATTTTAGTCTTTCATTGCTGTGAATGTGTTTTTTAATTTTTGCTGTTTTAAAAGGCATCGAGCGATAGAGACTCGAAATAGGCAAATATGCAAATAGCTTTTGGTGACAATGGATCTAAACAAAGATCAGTGTAAGATTGGTTTGCGAAAGATCGTAGCCCTCAAGTTCAAGTGGCCCAAAATGTAGTTAATCCTTGAAGAAGATCAGGGGAATTATGGAGATTTAGCATAAGAACTTGAAGTTTCATTTGGGGCCATTAGGAATCATCTACGGACAACGAAAAATTTGGCAGATGGATATTGAATAAATTTGTATACTTATGAATCTGAGCCAGATGAGAGGGCATTTGGTAGTTCGTTATTCATTGTTAATGCGGTACAAAAACGACCAATTTTCTGGAACGAAGCATGAGGAAAAATGGATTGTACGACTAAGTAAAAATTGGTGGTCGACTATTAGAATAGAATTAAAATGAGAAATAATTGAATCAAAATTGAAAAATTTAATTTCTTCCGTCATCGAATTCTTATTTTTTGAGGAAAATTTCTTTTGAATTAAATTTGTTAAATTAATTGCATTTTTTGTGAAAGATTGAAAATTGAAAATTTCCAAAAAATTTCACATAAAATTTGATTTATCTTTTAGAATTCAAAATTTGCTGCAAAAACGAGGATTCATGAAAATCGTCGCCATTCAGCTGTTCCTTTTATCAATATTTATGCGGGTGGTCCACCAATTGGTAAGTTTTTAGCATTCAATCTCGATTAATTCGAATCGATTAATCTGTGGCTTATACAGTTCGTTAAAAAATGACTATAAATGACTGCTATGTAGCTATTATTGCTGAGTTCAGTATTAAGTATATTTATATGTAATTAAGTTATCAGATGTATATCAGATATATTAAAGTGGATTTTTGTCCTGTTTTTGTCGAAGTGTTTACTCCTAAAAGGGCTATTTTCAATCTATAATTTGTAGAATATTTAGTTTTTATAATCTTGTTCGTATTTTTTGTTTTTATTGTATTGCCTTTCTGTAATTTCTATTTTATGTTCTTTTTAATTATAAAAATATATTATATATATATATATTTATATATATATATTTATTATATATTTATATTATATATTTATATATTATTATATATTTATATAAAAAATATTCCAGTTGAATTTGGTAGTTTTTCCTTTTATCGAAATATGATGACGAATTTCGAGGATTATTTACGATTATTTAAAATCATTTTCTACTTATTTTAAGTTCGAAATCCAAAATTTATCTGATATTGTTTGCCTTTAGGATCTCTTAGTTTAACCTGTTTATTTTATTTTATTCTTCTTTTTCCCTTTATAATTCTGTTATTTTATTTATATGAATAGATTATATTTATTTTTATAATTAAATTATGAAATTATGCCTAAATTATATCACTAAGTATTGTATTATGCTATTAAATTATATGGAAGTAGATTTGGAACCACATATTTTTTTCTTGCTTTTGACGCCGACCATCAAAGGCTTCGGCAAATAGCGAAATATGCATCAGCTCCTCTGTTGAACGATGGAGAACATGTCCTAACGATGGAGAATGCGGCATGATAATTATCATAGAATGTTTTAGAATTTATGTAATACATTGCATCTTTTAGTTGAAAGGTTGTGTATCTTCCTTGAAACCGTCGAGCCATTTATTCCCTTAAGATCTCCCTATAATAGAAATAGATTATTTAATCAAATGTATGAATAATGGATTGGATTTTATAATTGTCGGTGTAAATTTATGCGACCATCTTGAGGCACTTCTGACTTTATTACCATCAGTTTGGAAAGAGAACTGTTAAAGAGTGATTCAAATCTTTTAAATAATCTAAATATCCATTTATATATGTTTCTCTTAATCCCAAAATAGTTATCTTTAGTTATTTACTTTTTGGAGCGTATCGATTGATTTGGGGAAACCGAAATTTGTTATGATTTTTTTAACCTTATCCCAGTCAATAAATTAGGCCAATAATAAAGTGTTGAACCAGCAGTTATGAAGCAAATATCTATCTTTCTTCGATAGAAATTTATAAATTTATAAATCGCGTTGCTTTAATTTCGTTATAAGTTTTACTAAATTTTCTGAAATTTTTAGAATCTCTTTTAGGTATTTTAGACTTTTAAACTTGAAAAAATTGCAGAATTAGACTGGAATTATTTTAGAAAAAAATTGCACTTTTAATACTGTCATCCATTTTACACTGTTAACAGAAATTTTTGCACCATTAAATCGAAAGTAATTCTGAACATTCGTAGTATTAAATAAAATTCTTATATAAAAGAAATGATTATAATTATAGAAACTTCCTTTTTTGCAGGTATACGTCGTCGTTCGTTAAGTCCTATGGCATTTCTACCAATTCCGGTATTAAGTGACAGTCTTTCACCTTTATTTGATCCTGAGGCTTTTCACCATCGATCAGTTACCCCAACTCGTCGCCGATTATTTAATGATGCCTCACTTGACAAGGTTCAGTCCAAACCGCCTACGGTAAGAGAAATATTATTGTATTAGCCACCATTTCTTTTATGCATATTGGATTTTTTCAAGAAATTTTCTTTAAAAGAACAATGATAAATTGTTTATATATTAATCATTTATCATATCATTTGTTTAGGCGGATTTTGTCAAATAAATTATTTCTTGTTTTTTAAATTTTTTTGTTTTTATTTAAATTAAATTAAATTGCATAATTCATACTTAATAAATAAGCATTCTAAAATTTTTTAAATCCTTTAATTCATAGTTGAAACCGATTGATTAGTATGGCTGCTAACTGCGAAACGAGTAAACTTAGTTTACTCGTTTGTTACAATTCTTTAATCCAAAAATCCGAGTCGATCTGCATTTTTATCGCTAACTGATTTCTAATGGTGAGTAGTTAAAAATCTTAAAAATTGTGAAATTATATAATCATTTATGAAATTATATAATCATTAATCATTACTTATTTGTAAATTATATTTTCGTCGCTTATTTTAGAATTTCTATTCGGAAGCATGTATCATAGAAAATTTCAATTTAAATCATTTTGATGGTATTGTCTGGATTTAATTTTTAAGAACTAAATTTTTAAAAATCTATAACAAAATCTGTAATTGATATATTAGAATTATGGTTTTATTGGGAATATTTCAATTTACTGTTGAATCAATATAGAACAACAATTTCCTATTTTTCAGCTTTATTTTTTCTTTAAATTGTTATTCGACATGTTCCCGTATTCATTGCACTTTCCGCTTTTTATAATTTTTCGCATAGCTGGAAAGGAGAAAAAGAAGATGAAATTTTATTCATGTGATTATCTTTACTCTGCTTATTCTGCATATTAAAATAGAGATTTTAGATTTTAGACTTAAGAGAAAGGGGTTATTAAATTCCAACTGGAAAGCGCATAAGTTTATTGTTGCTTAAAGAAAAAGAATTGATAAAGATAACCTTAAGCAAAGAAAGGTTGACAAGAAAGGAAGATGAATTGAATGCGTAACGAAAAAATTCATTAATTTCCTTCAACAGTTGCAAATTATTTTTGCATTCCCGAAGAAACAAATTATTGCAGTCAAATAATGCGAAAAATGAGAATTTTATTGGTCAAAGAAGGCGAAAACTAAATTTCTCAAAATCATTTTCAAATTTAAATAAAAATGAGAAACAACAATAAAAAATCGCAAAAGTCAAAAAGTTGAAGTAACATTATTTGGAAACAACCGAACAACTGAAATGGATTTATTTACGAAATGTGAGTGAGAGTAATCCCGTAAAGATTATTATGAGAGATGCTATTCTGAGGATTCGCCAAACGGGTATTGATAGTGATAAAGAAATATTAGCTCATAACCTAATGCAACTCAAGCAAAAATTTAAATGTATAAAAGAGATAAATGAACAGCGAAGCGACAACTGGACACTTCTAGAAGATCTAAATGTTCATCGATGGCAAGATTTGTTTTTAATTCTAAGGAAGTGTTTTGGTTTTTCGCTATTTGTGTTTTTGCCCTCATATGATATTTGCCAGATCTTGTTTCTGGTAACTTTAATTTTTAGTAATTTTAATTTTCTTTTCGATATTTATAATTTTATAATAACTGTGTAATAATTTTTGAGTTGTGCTAACACTCTTCTTCTGTTGTTTTATAAAAATCGTTAATGTAGAAAAATATTTATGAAATCAATATTTTTTGTTTCAGAAAAATTCAACAATATGTTAGAGAAGTTCCCGGATTTACGAATTTGCATTTCTAAAAAGTTAAAGCGATTAATGCTCAAATAATTTTTAGATTCTGGTGTTCACTGGTGACAATGATGAACTTTATCACCGCATCCACAGCACTTTGTCTACAATGGTTTCTCCAGAAATCTATACAGTCTTTCATTTGTCTGTAGAGGCGCTTCATCATCATCCATGGATTAATCGGGAAGCTGTATGCTTAATTATAGCCGATACAAAATGTCTCGATGATGTGGCCTGGTTGCGTCTTCAACAGTATTTCAATAATGTTAGGAAGCTTTTTGTCGAAATGCTATAAAAATATTTTTTTTTAAAAATCCAATGCGTTTCAACAGTTGCCCTAAACATTTGGATGATTTCTTCAAAAGGTATATAAAAACTTATTAAATAATTTAAAAGTTTTAAAAATGGAAAGTTTTTTTTATTTTAGTCTGGCAAAATGTTATTCCTTTGTCAAAATAATTTACTGGCAAGTCTTTCGACATGCGGTTCATTCCATGAAAGCGCAAAGTTGCTGAAAATGGCTTTTGGTGATAGGCAGTCAAATGTGCTTGGCAAAGATTTTGAAAATTTCATAAAAAAGGCGTTTAAGTCGATTTCAAAATATAAAACAGTATGTAAATAGCTTTAACAGTACAGTAAATAGTTTTTTTAATTTTATTTGTTGATTCTTCATATATCGTTCCAGGTTAACGAAACATTCCATTCGAAAGATCTTGTTGGAGGATTGAAATATTCAGTTGTTATTTATAAAAATGCAGGTAATTTTTTTTTATACTTGTTTTTATTAAACGTCTAGATCAATGGGCAGAAAAAATTCATATTTGAATATATGATAAATTTAACAGCATATGAGCTTATGCGATTTTCATTTTAAATTGTATAAAAAAGTTTTTTTTGAAGCTTTTAATTGGCCTTTTGATTTTGATTTTGTCATGTTTTTAATATATTTTTGTAATATTGAAACTTTGATCAGTTGTTTTTTATTAGAAGTTTAATTCATGCTTTTTCTCATTTTCGATTTTTTTTTTTAGATGCACCTCTATTATTGTATATGGAGAATGCAGCACATCATGCAAGTGCATTATTTAGCGATGCGACAAGTGAAGAACTATTCGAAAGTGGCGCTACCTTAATAGCTGATGCTCTTTCTAGGTTATCTGTTCAGATCTCACCAAAAGTTGTTATCCCAAACCTAAGTCAAGGATATCTCATATGCCAATATGATCGATTGCCGTGGAATATAAAAGTTTATATTTCTTGATAATACTACAGTGAATGCCATAGGAAAAAATCGTTTTATTGAAAGCATAATTAGAACTGTCGTTTGACTATTTGTTACTAACTTATTTGAATACATTTTATCTAACTTTTTACATAAAATATAAAAGCTTACGGTGTCTTTTTTTCTGCAACAAATTTCATTAAAATGGAACTTCAAATTGAATGCAGGGAATGTATTTCAATGAAGTTTTTGGATCGTTTCCGAAATTATTAATAAAGCAAATTGAAAAGGATGGAAAATTACCTGCTGCTACAAATCAATTGTTGCCAATTGAGGTGAGAACTCGTCAACAAGGATTACCAGAATTCGACGATCGAATGTATTTCAGGTTAATATTTTATTTCTCTTTAACAAAAGATTAATAAAGTTGTTCCAGGTTATTAAACTTCCTTTGCTTTAGCGAATATCGTTTGTTTGTTTGTTTTGGCAGAGTATTGCATTTACGTCTATTGAGATAATGATATATATTTGAATGACACATTTAAATGACATATATTTATTTGATCGAATTATTTTATTCCAGAACTCTTCGAACAAAAAGGATCGGTGCAGCTTTGATTTATGTGCCTGTTTGTGAATCGACCCAGGATATTGCTAAAAGGTTTTTTCTTCAAATTTTCTGTATTTCGAAACTTATAAATCCTTATTTTGATATTTGCAAATTGTGAAATAGAGGACTTGTAAAGAGAGGAATTGAAGAACATAACAAGAATGTAGATTTAAAAAAATGAGAGCATTTTTTTCTACTGTACATACATTAACTTTGGCTACTTGTTGAATAGATATTTGCCAATTTTTGTGAATTCCGTATTGTAATAAATTGTTCAGTCTTGCTACCGCTATGCCTAATGAACCAATTGTCGTTGTCGCTCGACAACAAACTAAAGGAAGAGGTAATTTTTCATTTTTTTCACTCACTTTCAGAATATTAATATTTATTTTATTCTTCAAAATATTTCTTATTAATGTAGACCATTCTGATAATTAACAGTTATTTATTTTATTCTTATTTTTTAAATTAATTCTTATTGACTCAGGTCGTTCTGGTAATCAGTGGTTAAGTCCAATTGGTTGCGCAGTTTTCTCATTTAATTTTAATCTTCCTGCTAGTACGCTTCTAGCATCTAATGTTGTGTTTATACAATATATTTTTTCCGTTGCAATCGTTGATGGAATTTGTTCTCTTCATCCACATTTAGAGGTTAGTTTCATTTTTTCTGTTTATAACTGTAATTTATGAGGTTCTAAGAGGCTCCTCTTAAGAGTAAATCCTGGTAATGCTAGCGACTCATTTGTCCGAAAATCCTGGTGATGCTAGCGACTCGATTTGTACTTCTATTGTGAAGGGATTCCGTGGCATATTTATCTAGTATGACAAGTCAGAGGAGAGAGTTTAGAGTTTAATGGTGAGTATTCTTTGAAAAAAATTGATTTATGCACAAATTTTTAAATTTTTCTTAAGGTTTTTTTTTGAATTTTCGAAATTCTTTGATGGAACTTTAAAGAATTAAAGAATTAAAGTTGCACATTTTTCATTGAGATGTCCATCGGAATATATCGTCCTTTATTAAAATATGGATGGATTTTTAAGAAGTTCGTGGTAGAAAACAAGGATGAGCTTAAAATAAGCTTAAAAGAAATACAGATTCTGCGAAATTACAAATCAATGTTTTTTATTTTATTTTTATTTGATTTTTTCCCTCACCGTTGCCGATTAGATTTGCTTCGCTGGCTTATCAGATAAATTTTGCCATAGAATCACTTGGTTATAGAAGTAAGAATCAGCAGCATCACCCTTTCGAAGGCTATCAAAGGTTTATTCATGATGGACGTAGAACCTACTATCACCGCTCAAAACTAAGCGACAACCCATTAAGTCTTCATTCTATCCACTTTTGCTTGTGTCGTTTGACGACATTATTGCTCATTGAAACGTGATGTGTTAACGGAATTCAAAGTTATGCCATTCTTGGTTCCATTTGTCTTACCATTAAGCCACCTGTATACATTCTTTTGGATTGATATCAATAACAAAAAATTACATATATTTATTGTCAGTCATATTTTTTATCTAAATTATTTATCCACTTCCGTTTTAACTGGCAAATTTTTTTCTCATTATGAAATATTTTTGCAGAATTTGCAGCTGAAAATCAAATGGCCTAATGACATATATTATGGAAGGATGTATAAAATGGGTGGTTTATTGGTGAATGCATCAACAATTGGTGATAAAACTGTCTGTACCCTTGGTAACTTCTTAAATCAATCATCCATAGGGGAAAATATGACGTTGTTTTAGGTTCATTTTTACTTATTATAGCAGATAGTAAGCGTCCATCAGTGCTTTGAAAAAACAAGACCAGTGATGAAAGAAAATTGTAACACTTTTGATCACTTTTGACTATATCATTAAATCACTAATTTTCACTAATTTTCATTATATCGCTATCACTAATAATTTTACTAATAATCGCTAATTTTCGCCAAGGTCGTCGGTGCGGAGATGGTAATGGGACATTGGAATACCATAGGTAGATTAAAGTTTCGTCCTATCTTCAAAACCGCATATATTCCTTATCATCTTAACCTTTCAAAACATCCTTATTACTTCTTCGAAGAGAGAACGTAAGAAGTGAAATTCTGTTTTTGAAAAATTTTAGGAATAGTTGGATGTGGGAGGATTTTGATATTGAACTCGGACAAATTTTTATAAAGTAATCTTTGGGACGTACCATCCAGCATTATAGTACAAAATGATGGGATCTTTTTTGTTCGCGAATGCTGATTGCTGTGTTTTTAATTCCTGGTGGACTGTTTTTAATTTTTTATTGTACTACTCTTCTTTGATCACTGCTCCAGATCTTGAGAAGCCATGGAATATTCACCGTAATTTTCAGGCTTTTTAGCATAGATCGTGGTGGTTCAGATGGAGATATCTTTTGTTTTTGTTATTTTTGTACATTTTTCCATTTTTCATCGCAAGTTAAGATTCTTGGATCGTTTCTATGTCGTATTGTCAATGAAACAGCTTCCAAATTTGTTTTCAATTCGTAGGGTATCCACTTGTCAAATCTTTTCTTTTTTCCATTTGCACACAGGTGATTCTACGTGGTACGAGGTGGAACCGAGGTGAATCCTCAAAATCTGGGGATCAGTCTCCCAGTTCTCTTAATACGGTTTATCTATGAAATTTGAGAGTTGCCTGCGACTTCTCCGAAATCCGTGCCCTTGGATTGGATTTTACGGATTTTTTTTTCATTAGGAACATTGTCACCAAAATTTTCGCATTTTACAGTCGACTTTTATCGCTTGATGGCTTGATGAGTTTACTCATGAAGTGCCACAGCTCGCTCATACCATCGCGTATCAAATTTGATCACCTACTGTCGTGAAACAGCGAGAGCAAAAAGGTTACTGTGGGGTGGAAATGGAAAATGCATTTGAACCAGCAGTTAGCTTGGATTGTGAACAAACTAATTACCTATCAATCAAGGATCAGTGAAGAGGTGGCAAGATAATTTACAATGCAGTTCTCGTGAGTTTCAGAGAGGTGCGTTATAATTTAATGGCATGTCAAACGAATCAGCAAGCTTGGAATATAGCCTCAAGAAGACGATGATGCTCTTAAAGAAAGCAAAAAGGAAAGCTGGACAAGAGCCAGTATAGTACGAAAAAATACAGAAAAATGATCTATTGATGTCGACTGCTTAAGTTAAATTACTTCAAACAAAGAAGAATTATCTACTGTTTCCGCAATGAAAAGAAATAAAATGGCGACTAAAACCAGATAAGCCAGATAACTTTTCAGCAGAACATTGTATGGTCACAAATCCAGATTCTCAATAATAAAATTTCTCTTCCCTTAATTAATCGAATAATCTTTTTTTGGCAAATAAAAATTGGTCCATATTTTTTTGTATGATTTAATAAAATAATGAAGAAAAATGAATAGAGAAGAAGAGAAAATTATTCGCATGACCGATGAATGCCCAATGTTAATTTGGCCATTGATTTTTGTTATCACAGCAACTAGTGATGTAATTGTTTCTTTCAGGAGCAGGTTTTAACGTGGCCAATAGCAAACCTACTATTTGCGTCAATGATGTCTTACCTATCAATTCTAGAATCGAAGTAAAGATAGAAGAATTTATCGCAAATGCATTGAACAAATTTGAAGGTTTTTTCAAGATTTATTTTTTTAAAATTTAAATTTGTAAATTTATTTTATCTTTATTGCAAATTCTTCTCCTCATCCCTGATTTAGTTCACTTTCTTTTCGTCAGAGATTCACTTTGAAATAGAAGTATGGATGTGACCGCTCCAATTTATTGTAAATAAGATTTCTCAAAATTCCCTTAATTCTGAAATTCCCTTAATTAATCGAATAATCTTTTTTTGGCAAATAAAATGAATTTAAGCGATTTTAAAAGAGTTGGTTGTGTCGGATTTTTTTTTCAATGAATTTGGGTAGTTATGATAATCATGAAAAAAATTTTAGATTATGTCAATATTTTTCAAACTAATGGCCGTCAAGATTTTTTAAAATATTATTATAATTTTTGGTTGCACAGGTTTGTAATCATCTTTTTCAAGATTTTTTTTTCTTTTTTTCCCCTCGAAGTTTGAATTTATTTTCATTCCCAGTATTTTTCTCGAACACGCAAGATTTTTTTAATAAATTTTTTCAAAACTCTTGGTAAATTTATGGTTTTCCGTTTTTTCATAAACATTTCCATTTATTTTCATCGTGAAGTACAGAACAAATCAAATTTTATTAAAGTATTTTCAGTGAAAATTTATTAGTTTCGTAAAAAGATTTTTCCAGTAATTATAATTTTTATTAAAGTGTCTTAAAATTTATAGTCGAGAGGAAGTAACACTCGCGAAGTCTAATGAAAAAGTGGTAATTCGTGGTCTAGATGAACATGGATTTCTAGTGGTTCGAAGTCGGCAAAGTGGTAAAATCATGGTGGTGCATCCAGATGGCAATACATTTGATATGATGAAAGGGCTTATTTCAGTAAAATATTAATAATTACTTTACTCTTGTAGTCATAAAAACGCCGTTGCACCATGTTATTAGAGTTTTGTGGAATTTCGGGTAGTTTTAGCATTGTTATTTATTTATTTTTTAGTGTTATATTTTTTTCATTTTTACATCAGTGTTTTTAAAAACATTGATGTAAAAATGAAAAATTTTTAAAAATTTTTATGCAAAATCGTTCTCATTGAAAAATTCATTCAAAATATCCTTTTCTTTCTTGAAATAATCGAAACACAAATGGTTCTAACATTGTTGTTCTAAAATTAGTATCCACGCTTATTGAAGATTTCGTATTGTTCTTATCAACTCGATATTAAACAAAACTGTTAATTATTCCTACTCTTTTTTCGCGTTTCTTCATCTCGACAAACTTTTTTGAATTCGTTGATTAATAATGGAAGTGCTGTGTTTTTAAAATGCATTCTTATTTATCTATATTAGTAAGGTAGTGATGCGTTGCAAAATATTTCTGTAATATTTTTAGCGATTATTAAAATCTGAAATGTAGTTACCAGCTTGAGTTTCAGTTTTATGTAGCATTTTAAACCACGAGTTGCATTTTAAAAATGTTGAAAAATGAATATAGGGGGATTTAAAATATTAAAACAATAAAATCTTACCAACTTTCAAGCTTTTATTCAGAAAAATGAAACAAAATTATAATTTTAAAATATAAAATTTTATAGGCTGACTAATGTAACAAATTCTTTCTAATTAATGTACAATGAACCTAAAGATAAGTGCGTTGTAATTCTAAAAGATTCCTCTTTTTCTAAAAAAAATTTTTATGAGGAAAGGTAGGAATGATATATAACATTTATATAACATTTAACTAATATATATTTTATTCCATATGAAACTCTCGAAACAGTGACCCTTTCTTCTTATTCAATTTATAAATTTATATGTATATATATATGTAAATACTGGTTGATGGCTCCAACGGCTACAAGGATACTTCCAAGTGGCGCGATCAGACGATAATGGAAGCCATTCCTTTTTCCATCGTCTAAGTCCATATAGTGCTAGTCCACCTATACGTTTAAAGTCTTTTCGAACCGTATTAGTCCAGATCTTGATCGGCCTACCACGCTTTTGACGCTAATCATCACACGGCAAATAACGAAATAATAACGAAATATGCATCAACTCCTTTGGTGCACAAAGAAGAGCTTGCCCTAACCAGCAAAGACGAAGCTCTGTGATAACATTATTCATGCAAATGGTATTTGAACAAAGATGAATGAGATATTTTATCCGGTCGATGGACCCGTAAAATGCATCTTATATAAGAGTGTCAAAGGTAGATAGCTTATTAATATCCTCCATTCACACTGGCCATGTCTCAGAGCCATATAGTAAGATCGAACGAACCACAGCTATATAGATGCGGATTTTCGTTTTAATGGTAATTTCATGACGGCCCCATAAAGGTTTCGTCAGCAGAAAGAACGCATGTCTAGCTGCCGTGAACCGGGCTGTAATATCGTCTTTTGCCTGGCCATGTGGTATAAGTGTCGACCCAAGATATTTAAAATCGGGCATTTCCTCGACCTGCAATGAATTTACAAAAAGAGGCATTTTATCAGCTTCTTGTACATAAGACGAAAAGACTTTCGTTTTGCATACATTGACCCTGACTCGGATTCTTGCTGCAGTTTCTGACAAGTTATTTAGCATTACTTGCATTTTGTCATAACTATCAGCAAAAAGGACTATGTCATCAGCGTATTAGTGATACGATGCTCTGGACTGATTTGTACATCCGTTGAGTGCCGACAAGCGGTCTCCATTACCCAGTCTATCGCATGGTTGAATATTATAAGGGAAAGGACGCAACCCTGACAGACAGTTCTTATTGCGAATGAGTTTGTCAGTTCCCCATATACACTGTACACTGATCTGTACCAGGGTATGTTGATAAAATTCCTTTATGAATCGAATAATCTCTGGGCCACTTTACATTACATTCCATCACTTTCCAAAGCTTTGCTCTATCAAGCGAATCGGAGGCAACTGCAAAATCGATGAAGCAAGTGGCGGTGGGCTGCTGGTATTTGAAACGATGTTCCAGCATCCTTCTTAGCATAAATATCTGGTCAGCACATCTGGTCTGAATCCAGCTTAGCGCGCATTCTGCTGTCTCATGTTGCCATGAGTCTATTTAGCAGAGGAGAGGCGAAAATGCTTCCAGAGATGTCCAGTAGGCTGATTCCTCTGTGATTGTACGTCCTGTCATCTTTCTTAGGAATTGGAAGTAGAATTGTTTTGCTCCAGTTTTTTGGTGTTATTTCATTTTGCTATACCAGAAAATACATTTGTTGAAGGTGACGAATGAACGAATGTTGACAATATTTAAAGAATTCAGCCCGAAGACTATCTTCTCTCGGGGCCTTATTGGCCTTAAGCTTATGGATAATAGATATTATTTCTTCTTCTGTCGGGGGCTTACAATTACAAGCATATCGTTCAGCGAAACAGCTGTTTCAGGGGCCGCAGATGGCGCTTCATAGTTAAGTTTGGTCTCAAAGAATTCTTTCCATCATGAAGCGGTCAATATTTTTAATATTTTAATATTTAATATTTAATATTTTTGATCGGCACACCCTTGCTATCCCTTACCATTTCACTGATCGTTCCCCGAGTCATAGTTGCTTTATGAAGGAGGCGGTATAGTTTCCTATTATCGCCTAATCGAGCCGCCGTCTCCATTCTTGAGACTATGTCACTCCAATAGCGATTTCTATCCCACCGTGCTGTTTTCGTTACAAATCTTCGAAGCACCCGGTAGTCAGGATCACCTGACATTCGTACTTTGGCAGCTTTTTCAGACAGTTGCACAGGTGCTTCCGATACAGGCTTACTAGTACACTTCCTATTAGTATAATCTAGCGTGTAAGTGGCTGACTTTCGGAGATATTCCTTTAGTTAGGACCAGTATTCATTTGCCATTCCAGAAAACTCAGTCATCGATATCATTGAGGTTTTCCAATAATACCGTTTGAAATGCGTTTGTTGCTCCAGGATTTTTTAATTTGAGATAATGAAAAGATCATATAATACGTTCTTTCTTACGATTTGTCAGTTTTATTCTCGAACCATAACATGATCTGACCCATGGCGATTACCAGTTTCAGCGCCTCGATAAGAATGACTATCAAGTACAGAATTTTTCCAGCGGTGACTGACCAACATATAGTCAATCTGATTGGAATGTTGGTTGTCCGGAGAGTTTCACGTGACTAGATGTTTTCTACGATGCTGGAAGCAAGTATTAGTAATGAAAAAGTTCATGCTAGCGTTAATTTCTTGGTAAAAATTTCTAACTGTTCTAACACCCAGAGGAGCTAGCATAATTAGGAATGGTGAATAGAAATCATTTATCTTTAATACGTATAAATATTTTTAGTCAAGTTCTGTTTTCGATAGAGCAAAATCGCAATTGAATGGAATTTCGATTTATTCTAAACGTAGATTCCTGTGAGTGCAAACGGATAGGTAAGCCATAAATGAGGAAACCAGAAGAAGAATGTCCAGCATGTTTTATTCTTGGATAGGCATGGAGTGAATTAGATTTTATCTGTTTATTAAATTAGTTTACTAAATTTTACAAAAATTTTTTATTCTGGCCAATTTTTTGAACATCTATTATCATCTTAATAGTGATCCTTTGTTTGAAAAGTTTGAAAACCATTGTGAATTTGGAATACCACTTATTTTAGCTTGTCTACTGCGAAAAGATGAAAGGCTTAGCCTGCTTTTCCTCTTTGAGCCTCGCATGCAAATTTTTATCTCCATTGATTGAACGACATAAAAGTTTTCTTTCGTAACTTTCATATTCGATGATTTGGTCCTGTTATGCAATATGAATCCCACTTTGTTGATCTACTATTTGATACTGCAAGTCAGTAAGTTTCGACACTCTGAGTTGGTGCCTTTTTTATTAATTAATTTGTTAAGGCAAATATTGCTCATTCGAATTTATTTTCCACTTTTCCTACTCCTTTAGTGACCTTTTTGCCTTTTGCTTTTGCCTTTTCGCGAAACTCTCAATCGATGAAGGCTTTGTGCGCTGGCCGGATTCAAAGGTCTTATCTAAAGGTCTGCAAACTAAACTACAGACATAGCTAGGACGAAAACTGCTTTGCTAACCTCCTTTTCATTAATTGTAGATAAGACCTGCTGACTCGAATTCAGGTGAACTCCATGTCGCGAAACTGCGAAAACAAAAAAACGCTACTTTGGGGTTGGCCCACTTCCACTCCTTTGTGTTTCGTCTGCCGGAGCTGTATCTTTCATTGGGCGACCATTTTCAACATTCAAGATTAACATTCAAGGTATTCGCCATTTCTTGATGTTGAGTGAAGTTTATAAAGTTTTTATTGCTTTACTTCTTTTTCTACCAACTCTTATCATTACTGGTTTTTTTGGCTTTTGGCTCCTCTGACTTCGGGTAAGGCGTCTCTAAGCTGTTCGGTCTGACTCTACCACTGACAAATAATAATAAAAGCCATCCTTTTTTCTATCGACTTAATCTATATATGGCTGGTCTTCCTACATGTTCAAAATCTTTCCTGATTGTATCAGTCCAGGTCTTGATTGATCCTCCTCGCTTTTGATGCCATCCGTCACAGGATCTAGCGAGTAGTGAAGGCGATCTGTGGTAGTATTAATGCAGATGGTATTTGAGTGATGGTGAATGTGCGATTTTATCCACCTCAGCGGACCCAAAAGATATATCTTAAACGTAAGTGGTCAAAGGGATAGCTTTTTACAACAGAATGCGCTTCATGGTTAAGTTTGGTCTCAAAAAATTCCATCTTTTAAAGCGATCCTTAATAGCCTTAACAGGCTCACCATTACTATCCCGCATCATTTCATTGACCATTCTCTGAGGTTACTTTTATGAAGAAGGTGAAATAGTTTCTTTTTATCACCTAAGCAAGTCGCCTCTCTATTCTCAAGGTCATATAGTCCCAACAGCAGTTTCTATCTCTCCGTGCTACTGTCATTGTAATTTTTCGAAGTATTCGGTAGTCAGAATAATACCCTGATATTCATGCTTTGGCAGCCTACGCAGAAAATTGCTTCCGACACCAGCTCATTTCTCATTTCTTACTAGTATGGAAGTGGCTAACTTTCATGTCTTTAGTTAAGACCATTATTCATCTGCTGCTCCAGAGATGTTATCGACATTCATTTTATTGAAGTGCTATAATTCTTGAAATGATTTGAAATGCGCTTATTGTTCCTCATTCTTTTAGTTTGATGCGGTTGAAAACGCTGTTCCTTGCAAGCTCAGTTTTATATGAACTTTAGCTCGAACCGTAACATGGTCTGGTCTATGAAGGTTATCAGTTCCAGCGCCCCGATTAGAGCAACTGTCTAATATTGAACTCTTCCAAATTGACTAAGATATAATCAATCTGATTAAAGTGTTCCACACGACTAGATATCTTTTTCGATGCCGGAAGTATTAGTAACAAAGAGTTTAAAAAATGTTCGGCAAAGCTAATAAGGCGTTCTTCATTGGCGTATTGAACTCCGCCATATTTGCCAATGACAGAGTTTGTCTTGGTGGCATCGTGACCTACGCATGCATTCCAGTCTCCTTCGATTATGACTCTTTTGAATAGGGATGTTGTTGTAAATGCGCAGAGAATTTATCGCGATCATCTGCGCTTAAAGTTGGAGCATTGAATGGAATATTGCAAAACTTTCCTTTGAAGCGCGCATAAGCCATATGGTCGTTTACTGACTTCCACTCAATCAGAGCGGACCAAGCTTTTTCAAACATGACAGTCGTTACACCATTTTGCTATCCGATACACCACAATTATATAGCCAATACCTATGCTAATATCGGAGCCAGGCTTAATTACTCAAGATTTGACGTGGAGAAGATGGACTTCTGAAGCAATAACTGTTAAATCTGACATTCATGGCAAAAAAATGCTGTTATATTTATAAGCTGCTATAATTGATATAGTTGGTAATCTGCTCAGATCTGGTCTATTATCTCAAATCAAATAAATGATAAATAATTTTAACTCAATGTTCACTAATTCAAATCAAGTAAATAACTCAATTTTCTTCAAGAACGATTTTTATTGCCCGCAATATTGCCCGTAATATGCTACAAAAAATCAAGAAGTTTGGCTGGGAAATTCTATTTCATCTGCCTTTACATTGGCATCCTGTTTTCCATTTTTAAAATCTCTGCATAATTTTTTTCGAAGAACACTCATCGTTCTGGCTCATTCCGCTGAGTTATAGGGACAAATTTTCCTGGGAACATTTGGTGATTAGTGATAAAAATACAGATGGGCTATTTTTAAAAATCAAGATTGCTATTTCTAGGAAAATTTCTAGAAAATTTCTAAAAAAATTTCTAGAAAAAAAAAGAACAAGAGTTGTATGGGTCATCATTTCTTCTATCAACAATAGTTTATTTTTTATACGGTGCTTCGGATTTTTACAACTACTATGGCAATTATTTTTAGGTTTGACAACCGTCTTCAATTTTATAAGATTTATATTTACTTAGGAGAATCAATAAGCCAAATCAATTTGCAGTTGCCGTTTCATCCTTTCATTTTGGAACCTCTTCAAGCCGTTGCTCATTAAGTCCAATCCATCAATCCCAATCGATCAAAGACAATTCCAGCGTTTCTTGGAACAACAGTGCTGCACCTCGATTTTATCTCATTTCTTTATCAGATTAAATTTTTATGTTTCCATTTATCATTTTTTTATTTTTTTCTTTTTTGTTCTGTTGTTTTTTTGCATATTCATGGTGTATTTTCAATTAATTGAAATTAGTTCTCGTAAAAATGAAATCTCTGATCAGGCACCAATATAAAGAAAAACTTAAAACAAATTTATTTCTTAACTTCTTAAAAGAAATCAGAGATCTGGGTATTAGAAATCTTTCTTATCTGTATTGACTTCTCAAAAGACATTTCAAAAAAACATTTTAAAGTATGAGAGCACTCTTCTATATTAACTCCTCATCCATTTTTTAGCCTAAAATCACAAAAATAGAGACAGGTCTACCTGGCCCAGACTTCTATGTCGAGAAAATATGTGTAGGAAAGCGCTATGTCCATTAGGCTTATGCATCCACATCCACGCTAATTCGGTAGTCTTGGGATCCTTGATCACAATTTTCGTTAAATTGTTCTCTTAGTTTCGTCAAAACATTCGTTATACATTCTTTCTTTCGAGGTCAGGTTCTCTTCTCACCAGCCCCCCTATAAGAAAATGTAATCGCGTGTCCTTCAACTATGGTTGTATTTACTCGTTTTCTATTGTTCAATTTTCAAAATTGTAAACTATAAAATGCTTAAAATAAAGTTTGAATTTTGGATTTTAAAAATATTTTCTTCGAAAATTAAAAATTTATATGGCACAGCAATCTATTAAAAAAATAAAATTTTTAGAAGAATAAATCAAAAATGCCAATTTTAAATGTGAAATTAAAAAGATATTTGGAAATTTGCACCACTTTTCCTTTAAAAACTCTTCCCATTTCTAGAGAAAGCTTTGGTATACGATGTCAGGCAGTCTGTTAAGGCTTATATCGAAGGCTTACATCGTGTTCTTAAAATTTTAAATTACACTTTTTCTAAATTTTACAAATGCTTTCTTCAAAGATGTACAGTTTTTTTCCTCCAGTTTCGTCCTTAGCTTATAGAACGATTTAACTGTTGACTTGTTCCCAATGAATTTCATCGTCATGTTCGTTAAGGAATCGTATTCTATAGTATAATTTTACCGATCGAAACCACGACTGAAAGAAAAAAAACTTTATTTTCACACAATTATATTACATATATTATTATAAAAATTATAAGCTGCGTTAGTTATATTATTAATTAATTGCATCTAATGATTTGAAGATAAATGATAAATTTGAATCTCAGTTTTGAAGAAGAGAAATTTAAAATGTTGTGTTCACTGGATTTAATGATATTCAGAAAAATTTTTAGAAGAAACGTGTTTGGCATCCACAAATTATTTAAACAATAGGAAGTATGTATCAATATTTAATTTAATCTCAAACATCTTCATTTCCAAATCGAAATTTGTAAATGCCCGGTCCAAGAGAAACAACTTTGAGCAGATCAACAGTAGGCATCGGTGGATAAAGAAATGTAGGTATCCACTCGTTCATCTTATCTAAACATGAGTTAACATCCTTCAAATCTTTGCTGTGATATATAGCAATTGAATATGATCGTTCTCCAAATCTAGAACGATTTATGAATAAAACATAAGTTATTGAAGATGTGGCGTGTTAATTCAACAGTTTGAAAAATTTCGTAAGTTTGATCCATTCATTAACACGTTATAACGGAGCAAGGCAGCCGAGTGTTTATTGCTCAAGGTTTTCACCTTGAATATCAGCGGCTCGAATCTCGTTTTCAATATTTGTGCAGGACTATCCATCTCTATCACTTCTATCGACAAATGGCTCCCTGGCAAAATCCTCACCATACTAACAAAAGGGACCTAATTAAAAATGATTGGCGTGAATCGCGTCATTGCTCACAAATAAATAAAACGAAGCGGATAAAGCAAAACAAAATTAGTTTCTATGATTTTTAGGTGCGAATTCATGTCGGAATTAAATTTATTTCCTGTTGAATTACAAAATTATTCTAGTGTATAACGACTGAGAAAAATTTTACCTGTTGAGTGCGAGAAAAATTTTTTCGTTTGTTGGCGACACTTTTATAGTGACAATTTTGAATCGACCCGCATTTATTGTCATAGATTCCAGCTTATCGATCCAGGGTGACATTTTATCTGGTTGCCAATATAGATTTGTAGGTATTGACTTCGTTGGAATTAGTATACGGTCTCTGTAGTAAAAAGAGCTAGTTAAGTCGTGAGTTTCATGTATGATTTTAGCTTCTAAATATAATTTTTGATGGTTTTTTTCTATTGAAATAAAATTTTTATTTCAGTACCTGCACATTGGATCACCGTTTGAATCAGTCAATTCACCTCCCCAGTGTTTAGGCACATATTTCAAGTCGCAGTGCTGAAACTGTACTTTAATAAAAATTACCAACAAAAAAACACTACCTATTCATAGGGCTGACTAATAAAAATTTCATACGAAGTAAAGAAGATATTGGAAATTATGGATATCATCCCATCATTTGCATAAGAAGTTTGGACTGTCAATTAGGCTTAACTCATAAATTCAGCGCTAAACCGCGAAAAAAGTAAACATGATCACTTATGGCTTGCAGAATATAGTTACGATTTATTATATTCACAACTGATATATATTATATATCGTGTCATCTTTCTTCGCAAGTTTCTGCCTAGTAAATTAAAAAATTTTAAAAAATAAAATATAAAAAAGTGTTTCGCATTATTTTTAATGACAGTCACTTGGCTGAATGTAGAATTTAGGAGAAAAATACAGAGATGGAAGATTGTAAGATAGTGAGAAAGACGTGAGATGAATTAATTGGTAGAAAATTCGTGAAAATGGAATATTAAAAGTTTTTTATCAATAAATTATCGATAAGAAACAGCGAGCAATGAGAAAGAAAAATGCACTCTGCAGGCTTTCTTTTGTTCGCTATTCCTTTCTTTGTTCTTTCGCATTGTTTTTCGCATGGTATCGGATAATAAACAAATAACAGACAAAAATGCCAAAAATTAAGATTTTGATTAACCTTCAATAATTCAGGAACGATATCACATCCGACTGTAAATATTTGTACTTTGTTACGTGTTCTTTCAGGCATAAGCGGTCCTATCGCTTTCCAAATTATAGATATGAATGCGGGTGCATTTACTATAAATAAAGTTTCAACCCATTCTGGATAATTTGTATAAACTAAATTCCATAATGTGTGATAAGGGCCTGAAAAGAATACTTTAGCTTATTTTAGTTATGGATTTTAAACAATATGTCAGTTAAAATTAAATTCTGTCCTTGTTTGGAATTATGGAATTATTGAAAAAAAATCCTAGAAAGTCCAATCGATTATGACATATCGAAATGCCCGTTATCTTGATCTAGGATATAAGTAACGCTAACAAAAAAATTTTTAGTTGTATGGTTGCTAATAAACCTGTGACGACGCTTAATAAGCTAGAATCCAGCTTCAATCCTTCGAGATCCAATATGTATATGACGGAACACTAAAAATACTAGTGAATAAAAAAAGCCGCAAAAGACTCGAAAAGAATTTTAATTAGATAACATTTTCATTTCAAATTAACCTGCGATTTATTTTCCTGTTCCATTTTGTTTATTTCATCAAGCATCATTTCTTGAAATTTCAATCTCTGCGATAAGAATTCATTCAACTGGATGGTTTTAAGTATGCCATGCAGGTCGATTCGACCTGCGCATTCCACGACCAACAAATGATTATTTTTGCCCGTTTTTCCTCAAATTTCATAAATTTTAAAAATAACTTTTAAAAAAATTTTACTACAATTTTAGTGGTATAATCGATTTAAGAAGACAGACTGGTCGAGTATCGCTTCTAAGCGATGACAAGCATGGTATCAATTCTTTCTGCTTTAGGGCAATAAACCTATTGTTAAAAGTGAGGTCTGTGTGGTTCTTGGTGCCTATATTTCTGCCTTAAAGATCCTTATACAGTGCAGCCAACTATACCAAAAATAATGAGTGCTGTTATATGATGGAAAAAAATAATCAGCAATCCACTGTTTTATAAAATAATTATTCTGCTTAAAAAACCAACCTACGAGACCGAGAGGGAAATATTGTTTAAGAAGTTTATTGTCTTTGAGGTTTTCCACATTATCAAGATCGAAAAACTGACGAAACATCAAGTGACGTTCCAGATGATGGGCTGCTTCATCCAAATTGTAATTGTATCCCTAATAATTAAAAGTGAAATTCAATGGCCGTCCATTCCCAGTGTCTGCTCGATTTTAGCGATTTTTTTTAAGGCGACAATATTTGCAAAATTTCTGGTTATAATCATGAGACCATAGAAGGAGCAAAAAATTCAGTTCACTTTTTAGCAGTAGTTTTTTAATTTATCCGACAATTTTTGAAAATCAACACTACATTATTTTCAAAAATTTATATATTTCATGGAAAATGCATATCACAATAAATCGAATAGAATCACATGAATATTTTTAATTTATTCCCTTCTAGACAAATGCAATGAAAGCTTACTTGTGCCCATCGAAGAAAATTAAAGTCTTTATCATATTTTTCAGTTAATTTCGATTGAACCTAAAATAAAAGTGGATAAAATCACCTTTAAAAAAATCAACAAAACAATTTGGTCTCTGTTTTTAAAAGGATATTTATTTTTTCTTCCAACAGCTCACACTATTACTGTTTAGGCTAACTTCGCTGATTATAAGGGTAAGACATATCCAAGCTAGTCCGCCATCGATAATAATAATCGACAATAGAAGCCATTTCTTTTTCCATCATCTAAATCCATATGTTACTATTCCCCTATTCAAAATCTTTCCTGACTGTATTAGTCCAGATTTTGATTGTTCCTTCTCGCTTTTAATGCCATCCACCATATGTTTTAGCAAATAGTGAACTCCTCATATTGTGGAAGATGAAGAAGGTGTCTTAACTAGCGATGGCCGCAATCCGTGATGGTAGTAATAATGCAGATGGTATGAAGATGGATGGAATTCTATGCGATTTTATCGGCTTGGCGGATCTATATCTTAGATTTGAATGGTCAAAGGCAGATAGCTTCTTATAACAGATAGCGCTTCGTGGTTAATTTTGGCCTCAAAAAAATTCTTTCCACCTTTTGAGGCGATTCTTATAGCCTTAACAGATTCACCATTATTATCATTTCATTAACCGTTCTTCCAATTATGCTTTGTGAATAAGGTAAAATTTCCTATTTCACCAAACCAAATCCTCCTCCATTCTCAAGGCCATATCGCTCTAATAGCGGGTTTTATCTCCTCCTTTTGTTGTAATTCTTCGAAGTATCCGACAGTCAAGATTTCCTGGCATTCATTCTTTGGCAGCCTTTCCAGACAACTGAACAGTTGTTTCCGACACTCAACTAGCGCATTTCTTACTAGCAGGTCCAAGTGTGGAAATGGCTGACTTTCAAAGACATTCCTTCAATTAAGACCAGTATTCATCTTCCCTTCCAGAGATGTTACCGATATTCATTTCACTGAAGTGTTTCAATAATTCGGTTTAAACTGCACTTACTATCCCCGAATCTTTTAGTTTGAGATAGTTGAAAAATCTTGTGAGTTTCTTGCGAGTTGTTAATTTATGTGAATTTTGGTTCCAACCATAACATAGCCTGATCCATAAAGGTTATCAGTTTCAACCCTCCAATAGGAACAACTATCTAGTGCGGAACTCTTCCAACAGCGAAAATATGATTAAAATATAATCAATCTGATTGGAATGTTGGTTATCCGGAGAGTTCCAGGTTTTTGCCGATGTCAGAAGCATGTATTAGTAACTGTTGGCCCATCGGAGCCTACTGCCATATTTACTAGTTATTTAGTTTATCATAGAGGCATCATGACCTACGTGTGCATTCTATTCTCCTCCGATTATGACGCTTTTCGTTGGAGATGTTAGCAGTTGAAGTCAAGCATAGAATTTATCGCGATCATCTACGCTTAAAGTTGAAGCATTGAATGGAATATTGCAAAACTTTTCTTTGAAGCGCGCATAAGCCATATGGTCGTTTACTGACTTCCACTCAATCAGAGCGGACCAAGCTTTTTCAAACATGACAGTCGCTACACCATTTTGCTATCCGATACACCACAGTCAATAGCCAATACCTATGCTAATATCGCAGCCAGGCTTAATAATTCCTCGAGATCGGCGTGAGGAAGATGGACTTCTGACAAACAAGCCACATCCACGAAGTATTTAGAAAGCATGTGGGCGCTGATCGATTGGTTTTCAATATCCATAAGCATTCCAATATCCCAAACAGCTATGGCCAACACCTAATCGCATGCATAAAGTGCTAACGGTCAGTCCCTCGTTTTTCTATAAGGTTTTGAGTAATTACTCTGGCATTTTTTTCAGGCCAAGAATATTATTTATGGATTAAAATAATTTGGAACCATAAGCGTGGAGATGGCATTAGATAAATTAAAATCTGGGTAAGCTTTCAAGAAAAAAATGCAAGCACATTATGCAGACATATATGCCATATGCATAATTGCACCAATATGCCATATGTGGCATGTGCATAATTGCACCATATAGTCATCCACATGCATTTGCACATATATATATCCAAAAGAAAATATAAATTTGTCTCACCATCATGCATGTATACATCACTCCCCATATACAAGCAATTCTCGAAGTCAGAAATATGCATACACCTCATGCTCCAGAAACTCATTCCCTTTATTTCAGTTTTATTGTTTCCATACTTATCCTACCAGTTCACCAGCATACAACTAATCAGCTCAGCGTATCCACCATCCTTCTTTGGCCTTCCAACATCTCCTCAGTTCTCCAAGTAGTAACTTGGATTATACCACAGGTGGACCAGAGTTGCCGCTGAAGGCCGTAACGTACATAGTATCTAAAATGGGGGGTTTATTGAGTTTTTTCATTCTAACTTCAGGGTACGTCAATAAGATAATAACGACGATAATTGAGAAATTGGGTTAAATTGGGCCTTGTTTCTTTGGTCGATAGCGCCACCAAATAGCGAAAACGAAGGAAAAAAGTGGAACAATTGCCCATTCCGGAGCGCCAATGCTGGGATTCTACTCCCCATACCAAAAGTCCTGGTTATGCTGGCGACTGAAGTTGAACTTTCGCCATATGATTAGTCTAGCATAGAATTAATATATATATATACTGTACTGTCTGAATGGTAAACATCAAATTTTGCAAATGGTAATTGACAGCTTTTTTAATATGATGAAAGATTCTTTAAATCCAAATCCAACCTTCTGCCTCAAATACTGAATCGCTTCAGTGTCCTTTTCTTTTAAGATTATTTTCACCATAAATAGTTTAATATTCTACAAAAGAAAAAGGTGAACGAGATTTTTCTATAATTAAATCATTCGAGGCAAATACCATAAAGCTAGAAATGCTTTGCCAATTACAGTTCAAATTATCGTTACAAAGGTGGTTGGGACTCCTCTCCTAATAGAATTGAATTCTACCAATAAAAAATGATGATGAATTTACTCATACCCGCCAGTATTTTTTCCTTCTGCTGACGAAAATTTGGATATCACAAGGCTAAAGGAAGTGCATTGAAGAGAAAATGATTAAGCTCTGATAAATCATGCAATTGAACGTATTTAAAACGAGCAAGAATTTCTAAAATAAAAAAAATAAAAATAGAAAAATTAAAAAGATTCTCTATCGACATTTTCGAAAATTCAAGGACCAATTTGATTCCATATTATATGATTTTACGTTTTTTATAGAAATTTTGCGGTTCGAAATGAGAAATTTCACAATGGACCAACAACACTGGAATAACGTAAAATTCGTGCCAGTTGTTCATTTTAATGAAAACATGTTGTTATTGGTCATGGTTAACGGAATTAATAGATAAATGAATCTACTACCGATTGACATGGATGAATAAAAACTGTTAACTGATGAGCTATGTTGCGAAATTTATCGCCGCATTTTTTGAACAATTCTTTGTAAAAATCTACAACCATATGGGGAATGAATTACTAAATTTTACTTCATATTCCTAAGTGATATTCAAGATCGATCGGCCCCTTTTCAATTAAACACTAAAGATTTTGGCAAAAATTTGATGGATGTCTCATCTCGCCAAATGACAATCATGGAAGAAAACTTTTCTTTTCAGAGAGATTCGTTAATGTTTTCGTCTTTTTTTATAAAACTAGGCAAATCAACGGAAGATGGCGAAGAATTGTGCAGAAATTTCTAGTTCTAATTCATTTCTAGTTCATTTGATAGGTAGTGAATTGTGCATTTACTTATGAAATTTAAATGAACTATGAGGATTCAAGTCAATTTTTACATCCTTTCATTTCATTTCATTTAAGACTGAATGAAAATATTATTAATGTTTAAATGGAGAATTTCCTGTAATTTTAAGATAAACGACAAAATGCTATAAAAGATAAGTAAGTGTATGAATCAAAAATAATTTTTTAAATTCTTGTCGCAACTTTATTCAAGTAATTATAGTGGTTAGCACCATTCTTGACTAATCTCCTTCAGCTGACTGTTAGAAAAAATGAAAAAATTGAAAAATTAGTTATCGAACTATAGATGGATCGCCAGCAGCACCTGGAATTTTTGTTTTAAAATTTGCTCTAACGGCTACAGAAGCCAGGCTCTTACTTATATCTCGATACAATATTCTAGACCACTATCCACCCAGCTGTCAACCAAGTGATCATATCAGAATAGCTGTATTTCTGTTCTAGAAATTTTTTAAATACCGATTCATCGATAATTTATGGAAAAACTGAACTAATTATTTGAAAGAAAATAAAAGATCATATCAATGAATTAATGGATTTCTAAACCTTGTAAATATTGCGGTCACTGATAGTGCGTCGATTATGACCATAATTACCTAATGACCAGTTTTCGTCACATTACGAATAATTATTGAAAAAATATGCAAACTTAAACATATCTCCACCCGATGTAACCTATGATTAAGTGGCAAGTATGACTGATTTCATTCTATAAAATTTTTATGGATCGATAATATTCAATATTATCAATATTAGATTTTTTAAAACAATTTTTATAGAACTTGCAAAGCAAAACGAAATCCCGAAATCTAGAAATTTGCCAAATACTTTCTCATCCCAAAGAAATAGCCAGAAACAGAACTAATATTACAAGCCGTCAATAACTG